TGGCAGCTGCCCTGGGCGGCCGGGTCTGCGCCCGGTGCGTCGGGCCTGCGCGCCCCCTGGGCTGCGCGCGCCGCTTCGCCACCGGTTCCCCCGCGCGCGTCCAGTTCTGCACCGACCCGGGGGAGGCGCTGCAGGGCGTCTCGGACGGGGCGACCGTCATGATCGGCGGCTTCGGGCTCTGCGGGATTCCCGAGAACCTGATCGCCGCGCTGCGGGACGTGGGCGCGAAGAACCTGACGGTAATCAGCACCAACGCGGGCGTGGACGACTTCGGCCTCGGCGTCCTGCTTACCGCCAAGCAGGTGCGCCGCGTGGTCTGCTCCTACCTGGGCGAGAGCGCGGTGTGCGAGCGGCAGTACCTGGCTGGCGAGCTGGAGCTGGAGATGACGCCGCAGGGCACCCTGGCCGAGCGCATCCGCGCGGGCGGCGCCGGCGTGCCCGCCTTCTACACGCCCACGGGCTACGGCACGCTGGTGCAGGAGGGGGGCGCGCCCATCGCCTACTACCCCGATGGCCACTTGGCAGTGCTCAGCCAGCCCCGGGAGGTGCGCGAGTTCGGCGGGAAGCACTACCTGCTGGAGCACGCCCTCCGCGCCGACTTCGCCCTGGTCAAGGGCTGGCGGGCTGACCGCGCGGGCAACGTGGTCTTCCGCGGGAGCGCCAGGAACTTTAACGCGCCCATGTGCAAGGCGGCCGACGTGTCCGTGGTGGAGGTGGAAGAGATCGTGGATGTGGGCACGTTCGCCCCGGAAGACATCCACGTGCCCAACATTTACGTCAAGCGCGTGATAAAGGGGGCCAAGTTCGAGAAAAGAATTGAACGTTTAACCACGCGGGCTGGGCAAGGCGAGCCAGCCACCACAACAGGTGACATCAGGACCCGGATCATCAAGCGAGCGGCTCTGGAGTTTGAGGATGGCATGTATGCCAACCTGGGCATAGGCATCCCTCTCCTGGCCAGCAACTATATCAGCCCCAACATGACCGTGCATCTGCACAGTGAGAACGGGATCCTGGGCCTGGGCCCGTTTCCGTTGAAAGAGGAGGTGGATGCAGACATCATCAATGCAGGCAAGCAGACGGTAACCGTGCTGCCTGGGGGCTCTTTCTTCGCCAGCGACGACTCCTTCGCCATGATTCGCGGAGGACACATCCAACTGACCATGCTGGGGGCCATGCAGGTTTCCAAATATGGAGACCTGGCCAACTGGATGGTACCTGGCAAGAAGGTGAAGGGGATGGGCGGAGCCATGGATCTGGTGTCCAGCGCCAAAACCAGAGTGGTGGTCACTATGGAGCACTGCACGAAGACAAAGACCCCCAAAATCCTGGACGAGTGCACCATGCCGCTGACTGGGAAGCGCTGCGTGGACCGCATCATCACTGAGAAGGGCGTGTTTGATGTGCACCCGAACAGAGGGCTGACGCTGGTGGAGCTGTGGGAGGGCTCCACCGTGGACGAGGTCCAGACTAGCACAGGCTGTCCTTTTGCTGTGTCCCCGAACCTCAGGCCCATGCAGCAGGTGGCGCAGTGAGGGTGGAGCAGCCAGGGGCTGTTGTCCTCTCAGGTTTTCTACTGCAAGATACCCTGTCCTACCAGAGCCAGAGGAATTGGATTAAAAACCGAAGGAGACACCCAAAGCCCCTGCATCTGTCTCTGAGGCCGCTGGCGCCTGCTCCACCTGTGATGTTTACAGTGAATTGCTGGGCGAGAGGGTGCCCTGGTGGGCGCTGGTCCACTTTTCCCCTCACAAGGAAATCCTGAGCTGTAGAGGGGACAGATGTGGGAGAAAACAGCCCATGCAGAGTTCCCTGAAGTGCCATTTTACTGCTGCTTGCCAAGCTGAGTGCCACTGCGCAGCAGAAGGGCTGCCTCAGGGAAGCTTTTCCTGGCAGCCCCTGCTCTTCTCCTGGGTGTTCCGTTTTGTCCTTGGCTCTGCATCCCCCCACCCTGCCCTCCTGCTCCCATGGCCCTCTCTAGGTAGCTATGCAGATGTCTGTCGAGGAAGGCAGAGCCATCTCCATGGGACAGGACCTGGGAATGGGAGGGGTGAAGGGAGGACAGTAGTGCTCGGACCCACCTGGAGAGGCCTCTCCACAATCCCCTGGTGTCGCCCAAGGCTGTGGCTCAGCTTACAAGGAGATCTAGGAACCTAACTGATGGCAGCGTTGTGTCATCTCTGCCTAAACTGTAGCATCACACAGCACCCACACTAGACCGTTCTGCAGCCCAAACTGGCCTGTGTGATGTCCTCTCCCCTAAACCAGCAGGGCAGTGGGGCACACATCCTCACTCTACTGTCTCACACACTGGTGTGCACAAGTAGAACCCATATGGGGGCATGGGCTTGGGGATGACCTGTGAGAGTGGAGCCTGGTGTCCAGCCTACCTTTGGTCACCTTAAAGCCTGGGATACCTGCTCAGAGCAGGGCACTCTGGCTTCTCACAAGGGATTCTCAGTCCAATGAAAGGCCAGATCTGTGATTCATGAGATATGGAGGGGACACCAAGGAAGGTGCCACAGCCAGTCAGAGGTGGATGGGTTCTCACCTGGTGCAGCAAGCTTCACCTCTGGGGCTTCTGGGGGTGCCTGATCTGCCCTGGGCATCAGGAGAAATCACCAATACAGTGGGACAAGGTGGAGGCCCTGGAGCAGACAGATGGGAGGGCCACCAGAAGAGGACATGTATGGGTCCCTACTTCCAGGTGACCTAAAGCACCAGGGAATGATCATGTCTGGATTCCCTCAATTTCAACATGGCATCCAGATTGCTCTGCAGTGAAGCTCTAGGTAACTTCCTCCTGCAGGCTGAGGGGTGGCATTGGCACTAGGGCAGGCCTTATAGAAGGTGGAGGCAAAATGTGGCCTGGTGCTGTTGGCGAGTGGGTCTACACTAGGCAAGGTCCCCAGCTTCCACCTGTCTTTCTGGGATGGTGGCTGCCAATAGCTGAACATCCCACCACCACCAGCACTGGCCTGCTCCACCTTCCCTGCAGCCAGCAGAAGCCAGGACCTTGCCCAAGGATGGGATAGGCAAAGTGCTGAGCTGTGGGGAAGGGCAACTCTGGATCAGCAAGGGGCTGCTTACCCAGGCTCTGGGAGAAGACAGTGCCAGTCCCCCGCTCTCCTGCCCCTACCTGATAGGCCACTGCCACCTACTGGGGAAACTCGGAATAGCGGGGCTCTGCAGCTGCTTGCTCTCCTCTCTCTGGGCCTTAGTTCCCGCTTCTATAAAATGGGAACCTAGGATGAGCCGTATCCCAAGGCATCAGCCATGCACATCTGATGTACAGAAGGCACCCAGCACCCTCAGTAGACCCCACAGGACCCTAAAAACAGCTGCAGCAGAGCAAAGCAAAGCCAGAGCTGGCCCAAAATACTGAGCACGTGTCGCCTACAGTAGGCAGGGTTTCAGGGCGGTCAGAGGGAGCCCACATAGGACTGGAGGCTGCCCTGAGGCTAGGCCACCTGTGGCAGCAGGCTGTGGGGTTTTCACCAATGCCCAGCATTGTGACCATGGCCACCATCTCTCAGCCATGTCATCCCCTTCCCAAGGTGACCTTCACCTTTTCCTCTGCAGCTGTAGCTCTGTGTACTTAGAGCACCACAGCTTCTCCATGGCCTCAGCTGCCAGGTCCCACAGTCCCTGCATGGCTTCTCTGGGCTTCCTCCAAGTGCCAACCCAAGAGCTCTCAGCCCCTGTCCCTGCAGCTTTCCCCACACCTTGAGGCAGCCTCAGGGCCCAGCATCTGTGTTAGTGACAGGTGACATCATAGGTCAAAGATTAGCCTTGGCTGATGGTTGGTTCCATTGAGTAGCCCGTGGACTCCTGATCTGAGGCCCAGCTGCTGCAGGGTGACCTTCCAGTGCACTGTGAGGGAGCTGGCAGCATCCCGACCATTGCTGTGGAGTGGACATGCTGGCAGGCCGCAGCTGGGGAAGATGGACCTGCGTCTACATGGTGCCTACAAATGTACATATGTGTGTGTTTTCATGCATGCACACCGGGTGCTGGGGGCATCTGTGTGCTGGTGCTCACAGTGGGAGGTGCAAGTAGGCTTGTCAGCAAATGTTGCTGAAAAATATAAAAATGAGCAGCAATGTATAACTTACTAAAAAATTCCACACAGCTTTAACACAAAGAGGGTATGTGTTTTCCTCTTCATGAAGAAAGCCAACACAAATTTAAGGAGAAGCTCCCACCTATGGAAAGGAAGTCAGATCTGCTCAAAGGCACTTTATGTGTTTAAATTTTTTATTGTGGCAATGTATTTCAACAACTGCACAAATGGGCTGGTCAAATAGTTCAGCGGATTAAGGCGCCTGCAAGCAGGCACAGGGACCGAGGGTTCGATTCCCTGGCCTGCAGTGCAGTGAGATGGCAATTCAAACTGGGCGTGGTGGTGCACGTCTGTAATCCCAGCTCTTGGGAGGGTGTAAACAGGTAGATCACTACAATTAGGATCTAGTAGTGAGACCCTGAACACTCTGTAGACCCTTCCCTAAAATACAAAAAAAAAAAAAAAAAAAAAAAAAAAAGAAAAAAAAAACCTGTATAAAGGTTTATGTTAGAAAGTTGAAAGAACAGACTACTATATACTGGCAACTGTGTAGAATGTAAATCAGCACATGAAAATAGCCCAGGAAAATTAAAACAAGTACATGGGAGTTGCAGAAAGAGTAGGGGCCATATTTTTGCTCAAAAGTTCTTTTACTGTACTCATTTAGTGCTTTTAACAGTAAAAAACATCAGAGGCCATGTGCGAGACAAACCAGCCCAAGAGGACAGGGCTGGGCTGCGAGTGTCCCTCTTCAGGGTGGACTGTGTTCATAATGGCACCCCCGGCAGGCCACCCCAAGGAGGGGCCAGTTGAGGTGGATGGGATGTCACCTGGCACAGTGAGCTGCACCGCTGGGGCCTCAGGGGGCATCTGATCTGCCCTGGGCATTGGGACAAGCATCAGTGGGAGAAGGCTGAGGTCCAGAGCAGGCAGGAGGCAGCCAAAAGAGGAAAGGGGGTTAAGATCTCAGTGTTTCGGGTTCTGTTCTTCCTAGGCAGGACCCGGGCCCTATCTCTGCAGCTTTCCTTTTCTCCCTTCCACCATCACCTTGGCCTAGTGCATATGAACTGGGGTTTCCCAAAGAGGCTAACGTGGGCCAAGCTGGAATCTGGGACTTTGTCCCAATGTCTGCTCTGCTGGCACCAGTGCCTCCTGTCTGCAAGGGGAGGCAGTGACCACCCTGCCCTGGGCCGTGCTGGGCAGAGTTGGTGATGAATGCTCAGTGTCTTGGGTTGATACTGCCGTCAATCCCACAATCACCTCCCCAGAAAGGGCAACAGAGGGCAGGCCACAGGCCTTGGGTCCCAAGGAGGGAGCTCTGGTTCTGAATGTCACCAGCTGTGCACTCTGGTCATCAGTGAGTACGCTGATGGGTCTTCTGTAAAGTAGGAAACAATGGGCTGCTATAGGGACTAAATTGGGAATTACTGGGGTAACCGAAACCAGCCCTGATTTCACACCTCTGGGTCACACCTGTCTCTGCCTGTGACACACACCCAGCACCCCTTCCCAGACCTCCCCACCAGAGAGCTGGGGCTGGAGCTAGTGCTACTGGCTTCTGACAAGGAAACTGAGGCTCAGAAGGCCCACAGGTCCCCAGCCTTGTCCATGAGTGACCCTCTGTCCTCTCAGGACACAGCATTGCCCCTGGCCTGGCTGGTCTGCTGGGGAGACGGGCACCATGCTCCAGACAGCTTATCAGGTCACCTTCTTCAGGGCCAGCGGAAGCATTCTCTGTGGCCCCTTTCACAGTGTGACCCCTGAAGAGGAGACAGCTGAAGCAAACCAATGAGCTGCCGCACCCCAACAAACTCTCAGGGATCTTTGGTGAGGGCTGGGCCCTTAGCGGCCTCACCAAGAGCCCCTTGGCCCTTTGGGGCCAGGATGGCAGGAAAGGTGGTCACAGACCCTGGTGTCTCTAGAGCAAAGCAGGAGGGGACATTGGTTGGCCAAGGGTGCTGCCTGCTGGAGGTGCCAGACCCCATGGGCTGAAAGATGAGGCAGTCCCAGCCAGGCACAATACTGCTGTGCAGGGATCAGGAACCACTGGAGGCTGCTGAGCCAGGACATGGGAGGACCGGGAATCCAGGACTGCAATTTATGAGAACCAAGGCTTTCATTTCCTGTTGTTACTTCTCTGACAAATGTGCCTGTGAGGGCAGCCTGCAACCCGGGATCTCCTCTGTGGGAACAGCACAGAGCACAAAAAAGACCTGTGCCATCTGTCTCTGCAGATGACATCCACAGCTCCCACCACTGACAGGTTTACCACCAGCACAAGCTCTGTGTGAGCTTCCGGGACCTGGACTGGCTGGTGAGTGGGCTCCCTGCATACTGAGGTCCCAGTTGCAGCTCTTAGTGAGAGGAGGAAGAGGAGGAGGGGCAGGAAGAGGAGGAGAGGACAGGGAGGAGGAGGAAGAAGATGAGGGGGAGGGGCAGGGAGAAGTGGGGAGGAGGAAGAAGAGAGAGTTTTCTCCCCCTGGGGCCTCCAAGTTTTCTGCAGTGAGGCAGTGTCACTTTCATGGTGTAAATGTAGCTTTTTATATACACAAAGCCACAAAAATGGGAATTACTGAGCCCTGGGCTAAAATCCCAGCTCTGCCAAAGGGAAAGTGAGCTGGGTGGGCGAGCTTCCAAGTTTGCTGGGACTGCAGCTCCAGGATGCTGGGCAGGCAGGGCCGGCTGTGGAGAGAAAGCAGAGGCAGATGGGTGCGGTGGGGACAGAGCATGGCCTGACCCTGAGGCCTCTTGAGTGGACACTTCCCAGCAGGGGATGAGAGTGGGTTTGGGGCCTTGAGGCTCAGGGCAGGGGCAGGGCTGCCCTGAGTCATCCTGCCAGGTGCTGGACTGGGGACTCTGGGCATGCAGATGAGACTCACCTTCTCCCATTCCCCCAGGACTTGGTCATCGCCCCCCAAGGCTACTTAGCCTACTACTGTGAGAATGCGCCTTCCTGCTGGTCTCCTGCATGAATGCCACCAACCACGCCATCCTGCAGTCCCTGGTCAGTACTACAGCCAACCTTGCTGGTGGGGACCCTTAGGAAAGGGGCTGGTCCCCTGGGAAAGAGGTGACAGCAGCCACAGAGAAGAGCTGCCTGCATGGACCCTGTCGTGCAGGCCACACTGCATATGGTGGGGTTGGTGGGCAGGTGGACCTGTGCAGGCAGAGTTCAAAGTGAAACCCAGGAGCTTTCAAAGATGCAGCTCAGCTCAGCCTTTGTGTCCTGAGGATAGACAAGACCTCAAGGAGAGCAGCAGCCCAAGGGCCTGGACAGGAAAAGGAGCATGGGAATGGCATGGCTGGGGGAGGCTGCAGCATGGGAAGGGCAGGGAGCCTTGAGATCCTGAGGGCCAAGAGGAAAAGCGGGTCCCTCTGGGCCCACCCTCAGTGCCGCTGTCCATGCCACAGCCAGTGGGGTCTTCCTACCTCACCCACTGCCCACATACTTCTCAGCTGGGAAACTGTCCTGTCATTCCCAGGCGAGGTCTGAACCCCTGGCCTGGCATGTGCATCCCCCCTTACCACTACCATGGATGTTTTGTTTTGTTGAGACAGGGTTTCACTATGTAGTACAGGCTGGCCTTGAACTTCCTAAGCAGCCCAGGCTAAACTCAAAGCAGTCCTTCTGCTTCAGCCTCCTGAGTACTGGGTCCCTGGAGGCCTCCAGTCTCACATCCCTGCTTGTGTGCTCTCCCTAGCCAGGTGCACCTGATGAAGCCAGAGTCCCCAAGGTGTGCAGTGTACCCAAGCTGAGTGTCACCTCTGTGCTCTACTACAGCAGCAGCAACGTCATCCTGCAGAAGTACTGCAACATAGTAGTCAGGGCCTGCGGCTGCCACTAAGACCCCGCCCACCTGTCCTCTGTCCCTCCCCATCAGGCCCTCTGCAGAGGCAGGACACCCTGTACCCTGAGATGCTGCCACAGCTCAGACAATAGTGTGGCCCTCATCTCCTGTTCATTTCCTGCCAGGCTTCTGGCCGTTAGGCCCCTCTTCCCCTCCCAACCGGGTTGTAGCTGACTGTCCTGACAACCCAGGGCAAATGCACACCGCAGGTGGCAGCTGTGCTGACTGCACTGTCTTCAGTTCCCACCCTAGTCCTGTCACAGGTCTTCCCAGGCCCAGACTGTCGCTAATGTTGGCAGGTCTGAGAGCTGCTAGAGCCCAAGCTGGCTGATGGGGCCCCATGCTATTCTCCACTGGGTGCCAGCATGGCTGGAAGGGCTCTGCCCCTCCCCAGATGCACCTCCTGGACACTTCTGGGGCAAGGCTGGGCCTGCATATGGCCTCATTACTGTGAGTTCTTAAGATTTTCTAAACTGGCCCATTTGCACGGTTAGCTTCTTAGGAAAAGCTGGTGGCCCTCAGCAGCATGTATATTCCCTGGCCCCTGGAGAGAAGAGTGACTCACAGAGAGGGAAAGAACTTTGGCGTCTCCACTGCACTGACCCACTCAAATGAGTCAGTTATCTCTAGGCTGAAGCAAGGACAGTGACCACCCTGGTGGTCCAGGCTGGCATACGGCAGGTACCACCGTCTCCTTTGTCTATGGCCAACATCATTTACCTGGGGCTCCTTTGCATCTGGTCAAGGTATCCACCCCCTCATCACAGACTGCAAAAGGCCACCACCAAGGCAGAAGTGATCTCCACCCAGGGCACTATGACCAGGCAACCCCCGCCTAATGTAGGCCACAGGTGCATAATGTTCGCTTACATCTGACATCAAGGACAGGCCAGTCTCCGAAGCCTGTGTCACCCTGGGTGTCCAGCAGCTCTGTCCTGTTTCTTGCACTTGTGAGTCAGAGAAAAGGGCCCCTGTCCCAGGAGAGTGACCTAGTAATGACTGAGTTAGGTGAGGACCTTTGTCTCAGCCTCTCTGTTCCCAGAAACCGCTGTTCTCCTTGGAGCAGCTGCTGGGAGTTGGAGTGTTTGATTTCAGACTGGCTCAGCCTCTAATTTACCTGAGAAACAGATGGAGCCCAGCTGTGTGAGCCGTCATTTGGAGCAGGTCCTGGGCCTGCCCCTGTCCACACCCAGCCTCAGCGGACCCACCCATGAGCCCTGGGATACTTATCTCGGGTTCACACTGTTCTCAGGGACAGGTTTGGGGGAGGTGAAGTGTGGAGGCAGGGGAGAGGCTGGGGCCAGGCTACAGGGATGGCAGCACCCCCATCGGGCCCAGGGGAGGCCCCCCTGTGCAGTGCTGGGGAAGGCACCTTCCCCATCTGCAAAGGGGGGCTCAGATGGTCTGGAAGGTATTCTCCAGGAGCCTAAGGCTTCACAGGTTGTTAGGGATTAGAGAAGACACAAACTTGAGTGTCAAGAGACTGACTTAAGTGTTTGAACAAGTTCCCTTCTCCAAACATCAGTCTCCCATCTCTGACATGAGGCTACAGGACTGTGACAGTGGGATTTTTGTGACTATAACAAAATTCCTGAGATAATAAGGTAGCATGCCTAAGGCCCTGACCCCCACTCACTCCCACATACAAAATCAACCAAATCAAACCTGGAGATAATCTCAATAATAAATCAATAATCTCAATAATAAAGGATGAAAAGTGTGTCTTGGGACTTTGAGGTTTTAGCCCATGGTTGGTTGGCCCCACTCTTGGGGGGCAGTGGAGAGGCTGGGGAGGACAAGGCTGAGCAAAGCTGTTAACCCCTGGTGGCTGGGAAGCTAGAGAAGGGACAGGGATCTTAGTGACCAGAAGACCTCATGCTAGGCCTCACCTCATAGTTCCTACCACTTCCTAATAGTGCCAAGCTGGGGAATGTGGCTTGTAATGCATGGCTCCTTGGGGGACATTCCACTCCAAACTGTTTTTCACTCCAAAGGCCTTTCTGTCATCTAGACCCTCTCCTGTCCCATAGCCCAACACCAGCATGGACTCGGGAACTTGTCCAATGGTTTCCTCCTCCCATTGTCAAACAAGAGATTTGGGATCCATGAGATATGCACCAGTATTTGGTCTTTTCAGTGCCCAGCAAATAACCTGGTATGCTCTGGGGGCACGAGGAAAGTACAGGAAATGAATGCTTTCAGCTCCATCCTGTCTAGTGGGAGGTGTGCAATGCAGGCATATAAGGACTGGAACGTGGCTTTTTCCTGTAGCATGCCCCAGGTGCCATGGCCATGGCCCTCCTGATGACAGTTTGAGCACTAGCTATGCAGGCTGCCACCAAATAACATCCAGTAGACAAAGTCTCAGAGAAGGGAGGTGGTCCTGGACATGACCTGTGAGGGGTCAGTGTTGTTACCAAGGCTGTGTGGTTTTTTGGTTGTTCTGGCTGCTGGGGTTAATTCATGACTACACATAACAAGGGTGGTTACCCCATCACCCCAAGAGCAGTAAACAAACACTATGAGGAGGCAGGGCTCAACCTGGGACCCATAAGTGTGCAGCAGACCCCTTGGACATCTGTGCCCTAGCAGCACGGTAACAGCCAAGCCTGCAAAGTCCTACCTTTTGTCTTTATATGGAGCACACCCTTTAGACTTTCCCTATGATTTGGCAGGAAAGGCAGCTATGGATAAGACAGTCCCACCCAGCCTCCGCCCTGAGTGTCCTTGCCTCAGAGAAATGGTACTGGCACTTGCCCTGCCCCCCAGGTGGCTTCCTGCAGGTCAGACGCCCCACAGAGTACTTAGTGGTTACCATGCCTGCCTACAGAAGTGTATGGAGTAAACACTCTCTCCTTGGCCCTTCTGGGCTGTGTGTGCCTACTTACCTCGTGCCTGCTGTGCTTCTCAAACCCTACTCCCTGGGGATGAGGTGCAGCCCTGCACCCCTGCCTGCGTGGGGATAGAGGCAGTCCATGCTGCGGCACTGGGCTCTCTGCTCAGCAAGCAGCAGATGTGGTCCTGCCCTGCTACTGACAACAGCGTGCACTGTCTGCAGAGGAAGCGGAGGAGGGTTTCCTGTCAAAGGTTTCTTTCAGGAAAGTCATGAGCAGGTATTTGAGCCTCTCCCCTTCCCACCCACTTAAAGAAATTTTTTTTTCCTTACAAGGAAACATTATATGTGTACTAGGAATGTTTTCTGGGGAAAAATACTATTACACCCCAGAAACCTCACTCATGTGTCACCAGTGCTGACCCTCCCAGCCTCTGTTCTCGGCACACACGTCTGTACACAATACCTAGGTATCTTACACAGGATCATACTGTAGGATTGTTTGGGATCTGATTTACAAAATGATGTATTTTAAATTTTTCTGTTACTAAAGTCTTTAACAGCCCAGATTTTAGTAGCAGTCCATGCCTTCAATCCTGCCCTGCTTCCCCTCAGGTAACAGGTTCTGCAGTGGATAGCAGGCAGCCTGGGTCAGGTGACACTGCCACGAGGTGGTGCTAGCACATGGGCGAGGACAGTGCTGAGGAAGCTGGGTGACAGGGTAGGGACAGACATCTCACCTTCAAGGACCAGGTGACTTCAGAGTATAAACCTGCTGATGGACCCAGTGGGCAACTTCTGGGGAAGCCACCGTTGGCTCCACTGCCTCCCTAGCCAAGTCTCAGTGACATGGCCCACCCTAATTTCAGCCCTTGTTCAACAGGACTGTGTGAAGAGTCCTTGATCCTAGGCCTTAAGCCAACTGGCTCCATGTCCCCATGTATCATCCTGGAATCAGCCATGCAGAGGACTGACTGCATATCACCATCTTCTCCATGGACATCTCAATAGCCTGGAGAAGCTGCATTATCCTGGCTTCACTGCTGCTTGTCTTGAGCCATAATTGGTCCCAGCTAAGGGAGTCCGCAGGCCCACCAAGGGCAGAAGCCTCACAGGCAGGGAGAGTCAGGCTCTAGGGGTGCCCCAAAGGCAGGGCTGGCCTGGGGTCATTGGGACTGGGGGGCAGCAGTCTTCTCCCCTCCCCCACATTCATTCTGCTCTCAACTGATCTCAACTCAAAATGAGAAGCAGCTCCTGGGTTGGGCCTGGAGGCAGGCTGCAGCCCCTGCCTGGGGAGTTTCTGGTGACCCAGTAAGGGATATGGCAAGGTGGCCAGGTTGGATCACCACTGGTGTAGGGGACCAACCTGCCACAGGCTGAGACAAGGCACCAGACTACAAGTCCAGGCAGGATGGCGACTGGAGGCTCTGGCTTAATTCTTCTACAAAGCCTGGCGAGCCTGGCAAAGAACGGGTTCTGACATTCTGCAGGAGTCTGGTTCTGACTATGGCTCAGTGGGTGAATGAGGGCCCCAGTCAGTGCGACCTATTACAGGTAGCTACCAGGCATGGCTGGCTGCGTAACAGCAGAAGGGAGCCGAGCCAACCCAGCAGGAGAGAAGATGGGCAGTCTACATGGTTGTCTCTTCTATGCCCTGTGCTAGGCCTGTCTTCCCAGGGTGCACAAGTCCCAGGATAGCCAAGGGGAAGATGCTGACTCCTGCCCACTCCATACACATCTGGGGCTTGACTGGAGGCAGCAAGACAAGAGCCAGGATGGACTCTCATAAAGAGTCCAGGAGTCTCTGGTGGGCCAGGGCAGACTTGGCAGCCACACCTGGGAAAGCAAGTGGACACACTTGGCTATCCATGGTGGGGAGGGTGGCACCGCACTGGCCACAGGCACACAGTGCACCTGGCAGGAGCTCAGATCAAGTCCAGAGCGTGCTCCAGAGGAGCTGCTCTGAGCTGGCCCTGAGGAGGAGCTCAGACATAGCATTGCCTGCTTCCCACAGGACACGCAGGAAGCACAGGGAGCCAGTGGTGCCACCTCACATGTACTCCCCACAGTCGGCAATGATCACCTTCTGCTTTGGCTTTCTGTCCTTGCCACCCTGGGCCTTTGTGGGAGGAACAGAAGAGGCCGAGTCAGGGGAATGGGGTGG